GGGGTGGCGCGGGCCCCCGCTCCCGCCGGCTGCAACCGGGGCGCCCCGGGGCCAGGGCCGCCCTGGCCAGAACTGCGCTGCTTTCTGGCAGTGAGTTTATTGACAGCGAAAAGTTTCTAAGAGACCGAACTGACCGGTGAACTGGGGCTGAATTCTGCCCAGAGTTTCAGAGTAAAAAAAAAAAAAAAGAGAGAGATTAGGAAAAAAATTAGAACGCCAAGAAAAGAATTGAAATTTTTTAAAAAAAGGAACTGATTTGTGAAATGACATCTGGGTTAAAAAAAAAAAAACCCTAACATTTATCTGAGCAACAGAAAGAACCGCAGGCAGATGTGCGGACGGAGAGTCCCGGGCTGGCCAAGAGCTCGACCCGGGCAGTGCTGGGCACCCGGGGCCGGGTTTGGCATCCGGCCGTGTGCACCGAAACCCTCCTGCTGCCGGGGACCCCGCTTCGTCTCCCGCGCCTCCGAAAGGGCGCTGCGCTGCAGCTGGTAAGGAGAACTCATTCTGGGTTTTATACCCGTTTAGTTTCTTTAAGTGGTAGGTTTCTCTTTTTTTGGAGGAAAATACTTTTAGGAAAATGCTTATGAGCGTTGTATGGTGCAGCGGGAGTCATGGCAACCTTTAAAGCTACTTTTCAGTATTGAATTTTTTGGTAAGTATTGTCCCAGGTGTGGGACAGGATCGCTGATAAAGTGTCTCTTTAGAAAAGACTAAGTATTAAGATCTGCTCTTTTCTTCCCGGAGCATAAAGACAACATCTGAAGTGAAGTCTGCAATATTATCACATGAAAACGTTTTAAAAAGTCATTTCTGGACCCCTTTCTCCTTGGTGTCACAGAGCCGCCAAGTTCTGTGGGACCAGACAAACCACCAAGTAGCTCCCCAAAAGCCTAAAATAACCACCCATGTGTTTAAGCCACGCTCTCCTCGCCTCAGCTCTGGCCGGACCAACTGCTCGGTTTGCTGTTAATGGCTTTTCGTTATTGATCCAGTCTCGTTTTGTTAAGGGAGGGAACAAATCTCTCGTCATCAGCACACATCTTACTTAGCAGCAAATTAAAGCAGAAACAAGAACGCGGGTGCAATAAATGCCTCTCCTGTGTCAGTCCAGTGGCCGGCATTGCCTGGTACCATTTTCACCTTTGTGTTTCTCAGGTCTCTCCGCGCTGAAGGCAAATCATGTTAGCAATCCAGCAGACCCGACTTTATTTCGACACTTACCTTATCCATCTTCATGTGAAGATATAAACAGAACAGTACAGTCCCAATCATCTGTGCTACAATAAATACTGTGAGGAAGCACATGAACATTTTCATGGTGCTGGGCGAGGTGCTGCTCATGGGTCTGGGTGCTGCAGGGCTGTAGGGTTCATTCATCCTCCGGGCAGGCTGCTGGGGCTCCCTCTTCAAACGCACTGCTTGCACGTAGCATGAGAACTGTTGTGTGAGCAGCCGCTACTCAAGGGATACAGGTTGCAGCAACCTACACTTCCTGGAAAAAACCCTTCGTAGTGGGTAGGTTTGTTCACGACTGTCTCCCACAACAAAAAAAAGGTTGCTTAGACTTTCTTCTCTTGTGCACTTCCATGCTTTTTCCTACCGTCCTACCAGAAGCAGTTAGAAATTCTTATTCCATGTATTCATATTTGCCTTCGAAACACTCCAGACTGTGCCCCAATGATTTTTTCCTATCGTGGATGAATGTTTCGCAGCTGACTGTCTTTAAAGAAACGAAGACCGCAAATCCACGGGCAGAGCTGCTGAGGTGCAGCGTGGGCTGCCAGGGCTTAGGAAGCACGTGGAAAGCTGGTCGTTTCTCAAGAGGGGAAGAAAGTCCTTTTGCTCTCTGGTTCCTTCACTGAGGAGGATGAGTTTGCAGTTAAGCCGCTTGGCTAAGGCGGGTGGGCTGTGCTGGCTTCTGGACTTGCCTTGTGCTCTGCATGGGTGAAGGCACAGCAGGTTTCTGCCCAGTTAGATGGGGTGCTCCTGGAGCAAGGCCATCTCTACGGGCCCCGGGAGCCCAGCGTGCGCCCAGCCTCCATGCTCCTTGACGGACAGCAGGTCTTTGGGTCTCGAGGCTGCCTCTTGGCCCTCTGTTTGGAGAGACAAGTTTTCAGCAGCTTTCGCAGTACCTCAGTGAGGTGCTCACCCTGCATCCAAGAGCACAAGTATGCTCAGACGGTGTCCTCACTTATACATGTATAACTATGTCTATTTTCATGGGCATGGAAAGGACTCTTGGGGCAGCTGGGCACTCCTGCCAGCTGCTGACCTCCCTGGGTAGCCTCAAAGCAACCTTGGACAACCTCAACCCTGTGTCCCATGGTGACACTCAGCCTCTGCTTCTCCAGCCAGCACCAGGGGGGTAACATCCTGCCGCCGCTTGCCTTGTCTGCCCAGATTCAGAGCTCCTCAGGGCACCTGGCACTTGTCCGGCCTTGCAGCACTCGTGCGATAATTTCAGATACCTGCAGAGGGGTCCGGTCCTCACTGCTTGCGACAAGGGGCAGATCTCCCATCCTCCAGGCTAGTGGAAAGAACAAATCTAGGCATCTGCTGGGGCGCAGAGGACAAGAGCTGCACGGCTGCGGCACGAGGCCGGCTGCCTGCAGGGAGGGCTGGGGCTCTGTGTTAAAGGCAGTGATCAAATTGTCGTGTAAAGTTGTTTTGAAAGTAGTATGCTAAAGGCAATGCTCTTATCAGATGTGCATACAGCAAATAAAGGGTAGGATCCTTCTAGAAGCAGCAGGATGCTGAGCAGGGCACTGCTTTCTGGCAGCCCAGGGAGAGGAGGGGACTCAGCGCCTTGTTGGGTTGCTCAGTGCCTTGCAGGATTGAGTCCAGCATTTGCTGTTGCTGCCTACCCACTCGCTCGCATCCTGTCCTGTGTGGTTAGGGCGCTGTTAGCTGCAGATGCAAACGCTAGTAACAAAGCACAAACAGCTCTGCAACCAAGCCAGCATTTGACCTTGGCAGGTCACCATGTTCCTAAATATAGCACCCAAGTCACAAGCGTACGACAGCACCAGGGGCTTTGCTGGCAGCAACTCAGTGGCTGAGCAGCAGTCGACCAGCGGCCGAGACCTTGCTCAGAGCCCCAGGGCCGTCACCCCTCCAGCACCGGGGGCAGTTTTGGTGCAGGGCTGACAGCACTGGGGCCAGGGGGAGGACAGAGCTGTGCTCCACAGCATTGCCTTGGCTTTCTAGAGGACGCCGGGGGTCCTGCCAGCGGCAGCCCACAGCTCATGCATCTCCCCGTCCCAGGCTTGCCTGGCTCTGCCAGCTCTCCAGGGCAGGACCAGCTTCACAGCCGCGCAGGAACATCATCCCAGAGGGTGCTGAGGACACCCCGTGCTGGGTGGCGAAAGTGGCTCCCCTTGGTATCAGTGGGGCTTTGGACCTGGTCCTTGGCCCAGCCATGCAAGGGATGGAGCCAGCGAGCCACCTGAGGGCAGTGCCAAGCCAGTGACTTCATTCCCTTTTACCCTGCAGCTGGCATCATCTTTGGGAACGCCAGTCCCGGCCACCGCACAGAGCTCTGAGCTGAAACCTGGCACCAAGGCATGACCTCTGCCATGGGGAGTCTGCCACCTTCACAGCAAAAAAAGTCAGTTCATGGTGGCCACCTTCGAAGCCAGTGCACGTGGCAAGGGCCACAGACCCGCTGATATGCAGGGTCTGGGGCACCACTCTGTGGATCACCCTCTTCGCCTGGTCTCCAAAGTCCTAGCGCGATGGCTTAACCTGATGGCAATCATCGACATTTTCCAAGGCTCTTCAGCATTTCTTCCGAATTTAGCAGTCATATTTGGGGAAACTCTTTAAATGAGAAACAAAATGACATGCAAAGTCATTACTTAATACCTTCCCCGAATCCTGAGCATTAAGGTAATCTTGAAATGTGTGAAACCACAGCAATGAGTCGTGCAGAGAACTGCAAGTGAGGTTTTGCAGATATTCCTAAGCCCTGGCTGTCACCTGCAGATGAAACTTGTTTCAAGCAGCTTCTGGATAGCTACCCATCTCCGTTTCACCGAAATGAGAGGAACCTGTAAGTAACACCGGAAACCCCTAGCGCATCGCTATCCGGATAGCACGCACCTTGCTAGGGAGGCCAGAGCTGGGGCTCCTGCTCAGAGGGGCCGGCGAATTCGATGAGGTGACTGGGGAAAGTCTCCGATTATGGGTACCCGATGCAAAACTTCGCAGGAGAGCTGGTGAGCTTGTTCTGGAAACGAGGAAACCGAGACTCGCTAGTCACTAGCGCCCTGACGAACAGAAACGGGTGGAAAATATGACACGGGGAATCCTGGCAGAGCTTCGTCAGCGCACCTCACTGGGAGGGCTGGCTGACAGCTCCTCTTCGGGAAACCATTGCTTCATATCGGCAATCCAGCCTGTCGTCACTCCGCACTTCAGCGCTCGTGGCTGTTGCAGACCTGGCAAGCTGATGTGGGAGCAACCCCTTGGGCTTCCGCTCCCACAGTTTCCTCTACGCCGGGCACAGCAGGAGCAGAGCTGACGGCGTCACACCGCCAAAGAGGTGCTGGCTGCAGAGGAAGGCAGGCTCCTTTGGTCCATCCGGTCACCTTGACCGTCCAACTCCGGAGGACCTGGGAGGACAGAGCAGGGTTTGCTGCATTGTTGGCCCTTGGGGGTACCACGTGGCCCAGGAGACATGCTCTGATGCCCATCTCACTGTTTCACATAGGGCATGGTGGGGATGGGGAGAGACACCCTGTGTCCTCAAGGTCTTGAATAAGGCCAAAATCCGTGTTAGCCTATGCCAGGTCCAGGCAACACTGTGGATGCTCCTCCTTGACCACTTGGCTGCTGTAGACACCAGAGGGAGCATAGCGGAGGGGGCACATCCTTGGGGAAAGAGAGGCATAGTCCATAGACACCCTGGGGAATGGAGAGTAGACCCAACACAGGGGCAAAGAGCCTGCCCACCTGTCATTTCCCAGGGAAGGTGAAGTCTGCTCAGCGTGAGCCCACCACCAAGAAACCAGAAGGGTTTTTCCTTCACCCTTCAGGCTCTCTGAACATAGCTGTACCAGCTGCCTGTGAACCCAAAGTGGCACGGTTCCTACAGCCAGATAACCTCCGACCGAGACGATGGGAAAATGTGATCCATCGCTTGCATTCCTATTGACCTAGTTGCAGTATTTCCGCTGATCAGCAAATTGTCTCCACTGCACTCGGCGCTCAAAGCTTTGTTTACCAAGAAAATATCCGGTTGCCTGCCCCAGTGATCTGTCAAACGCCGGTAGCATTTCTGAATGCAATAAGGTGAAAGCTGATGAAAAGAGAGTGATTTTTCTGGGTGCTCTCTGTGGTTTTGTAACTAGCTATTTAAAATGTGCTGCTTATCCCACATATTCTTTACAATTAACAAAAGTTAGGTATTGAGAACAACACATTCAGAAAGAAGATTTTATTCTGAGTCACAAAAAGCGTTTGCCTATGATGCCGTGGGAGGGATTCAGAAGGGAACCTATGAGATCTACATTAGTCCCTTCAGCACGGGGCTACAGTCAGAAGGGAAAATTGAGCTTTTCCATGTTTTGTTTTGTGATTTCCTTAGGTTTTCCCTCTCCTGCACCCCTGGAGATCTAACGTCTCCAGGATTAACCCTGTCGACAGACAGAAGGCGAGAACAGGTATAGCCATAGCACCACAGCAAACATCACCAGCATCTGGAGAAAGGCTATATTGCAGTTTCCATTCATTTTTTAGCTTGATGTTAATTAGAGAAAGCTTTCAGAGTCTAGAGTAGCAAGAAACTGCCTCGGGAATAGGAGAAAGTGTTATTGCTTGGGATGGTCACATCTCTTTGTGGAAGAAAAGCCCAGGAGAGAGTGGTGGTAGCTACTACCACAGCAGCTGCAGTCAAATCACTCTCTACGAATGGTCCCTCACCCATAGAAACACCTGCGCGGAGGTTATCAAAAGTCTTGGTCTCCAGCAGGTGTGAAGCGAGCCCTCCCAAGCCAGGGCTCGGGCTCGGACTCGTTGGCCTCCAGCCCTGCCACTGGGGAGAGCCAGCAGGCAGCAGAGCCAGGCTGCAGCCCCGGGGGTCTCAGCCCACCATGTCCCGTGGCTCCGCGCCGTCCCCCAGCTCTGATGTGGCCCCTGCTACTTGGGCTAGACCTTTGGGGGCGCAGGCAGGTCGGGCCAGGGAGCAGAGAGGGACATCTCCCCCTTCCCTGCCACCCCACAGAGCGGCAAAGGGTGATAGAAAAAAGCTGCTGGAGATGGCACCGGGATGCTGCTGTCCCTCTGAGGCGCTCCACGGTTGTCCTTCTCCCAGGACTGTCACCCACCCGGCCTCCTTCCCTCCATCCGTCCTCCCGCCCCTGCCCTGCCACACCACCCACGGATGCCCCCGAGCCAG